CTGAACATGAGGAAGAACTTCTTCCCTCTGAGGGTGACGGAGCCCTGGCCCAGGCTGCCCAGGGAGGCTGTGGAGTCTCCTTCTCTGGAGATATTCCAGACCCACCTGGACATGGTCCTGTGCAGCCTGCTCTGGGTGACCCTGCTTGGGCAGGGGGTTGGACTGGGGGACCCCCAGAGGTCCCTTCCAACCCCGACCATTCTGTCGTTCTGTAATTCTCTGTTACGAATTTGGTTTAGATTGCAGGATGTCAACTGACAGCCTGCTTCGAAGACTTGTGATCGTAAGCTGGTTTTACCCATCTCCATTTCCTACGCTGTTGCAGAAAGCAGGGAAATGCCTGTGCCTGCTCTCAGCAGTCTGCGTAGATTCAAATTCATGAGAAGATATTTAACTGCATGCTCCATTTTTCAAAATGAAAGCAAATTTCTACCCCTGAGTCAAAACCCAATCACAATATAAACTTGTTCCCGTGCGTTTCCATTCCTCTGAGATGTAGGAATTCCAGCTCTGTGGATGACGCTGAGGCAGCATTTGCCTAAAACATAAAATTTTCCTAAAACAGAGATGTTTCAGAAAGCAGCTTCGTCCCGGCTGGAAGCCTCCCGGCCCGCGTAAGCTCAGGTGTGGCGTTTTGCCTTTCCACAGGTTAGGTCACACGCTGTTTGAGTGTGGTGTGCCTGCGGTACCTGGGGGGACGGGAACTGGCTGGGGGGCACTCACTGGTCTGGTTTACCATTGGCACCATTAAACCCGACACCAAGTACAGATACTCCTCCTTGTTCCAAGGCAGAGGTACAGTCAGAGTTGAGTAGCAGCACCTCTGTATTTCTATCTCATCTGTCCTTTCACTTCGCTGCAGTGGGGTTGTCTTTATTTTGCTTCCCAGTCCGGTACTGGTCAGCCCCAGTACGCGTGCTGTTGGTACTGGTCAGCCCCAGTACGCGTGCTGTTGGTACTGGTCAGCCCCAGTACGTCATCCTTCTGTTGGAACTGGGAACCTTCTGTCTTGAGGGCTGTGGAACTTAAAAATTGTTGTTTGTTGACTAAGGCTTGAAACAGTGTTACTTTAGCTAATCAGAATTATCCCGTAGATATACTTGATTTAAAAATTTGAGACGTGAAATAGAAGAGTGGTTTGGCATGAGAAGATTTGAGCGTAGATGGGTTTCTGTTTCCCTTCAGTTTATACATTTTAATGTTTTCCTCGTTTTATAATGTCTATTTGAAAATCTAATTAAAGCTAATTTAATTACTCCTATGTTTAGCCAGGTTTTGCATAGAAGATGTTTTAGGGAAAGGCCAATGACTCGATTACATACTTTTGATCTTAAATGTTCTTGTTTCCTGCTTGGAAGGAGATGAAAGGACGTTTGAGGTGGATCTGTGAGAACTTCGTTAGTGCTGCCATGGGTGTGGAGAGGAGGCGACGAAGAAGAGTGGAAAGCCTCTGGAGGGCTGCAGCGTGGCAGGGTGCACTGGCCGGTGGCCGCATGGCTTCGGAAGGGGTCACAGTTCAGAGATGGGAGGGGTTTCGAGTAGTTTGGTTAAAATAAAGCTGTCTGTGAATTTAAATAACATTGTTAGGAGTCACAGATGAGGGAGAAAAATGTAATTTATTTTATTTTCAATTCAGCTCTGAAAGATCTGTCTTTAACTTGGAAGGTACTCACGCGCTGTGGTACTGCCTGTGATTGTATTTTATGCTTGATCATTGCAGAGAGCCGTAATGCAAATGTGTCTGAAATCACAGGCTGCGTCTCCTTGGGAGTCGGAACTCCTGAATCAACGTTTTCCCCTTCCCCTACCTTGTAAGGATATCGGTGTAGAAGGTGTGAGCAGTCTGTGGTTCTGTTCCCAAAGTACACTTGGTTTTGGTTCCTCCTTGAAGCCAGACAGCGCGAAGCAGCTGTGTGAAGCGCCCCGGTGACCCCCGTGGTCTTTGGGTAGAGCAGGGAGAGGCTGGGCAAGGCAAGGATGCGGGAGGTGGGACGGCCTTCTCCGTGGCAGCTTGGCTTGCCGTGGCGAAAGACACCTGTGTGCTGCGTTAGGGGAATGGCATTAGCGAAATGAAAGGCTGGTTCCAGTGTGCGAGATTAAATAAAGGAAACTTCAGTTTTGTTTTGTAACTATCACCTCCACAGAGAATTTTCTTTTCCCTTGGCTGTTGAGAAATTAATTTGTTGACTAGGAGATGGTCTTGTCTACCTTAAATGTAACTTGCTTTTTAAATAGATCTGGTGTTTTGGGAAGTGTGATTTAGCTGTGACAAGAGGCAAGAGAGTGAGTTAGAAAAACCCTTGGAAAGCAAAACGCATTTCAAGTTGCTCTTGTTATAAACAAAACAAACAATAAAATGGGAAGATCCCCCCCTGAATCCTGTGTTCTGATTGTCCACCAACAGCTCTGAGAACTGATCATGGTTCTTTTCTAGGTCGTGTTGCCTCCTGGTGCTCAGCACTCTGACGATAAAGGTGCTAAAGAGACCGTTCTTGATGACGAGGAGTGTCCGCTGCAGATATTCAGGGAGTGGCCTAGTGATAAAGGTACGTCTAAAAACCTTTCAGAGGTTTTTGTGCCGTGGGGGTAGTAAGGCATGGTGTGGACCCCCTGTGAAGTAAGAAATCGGAACATGTATTTTGAAGTGTTTTGTTTTCAGGCACTTTTAATACTTTTAGTGCTTTTAGAGTTACTTACTATTTCATTCAGCACTTAGTAATAGATCTTGAGACAGTAGAAGGGTTTTACATTTTACCCGAAAGTTTCTGAATTATCTGCTGTGGAGAAGTATGCTATTAATCTTTTAAATAGTTTTAACTTAAAAATAACTACGTAAGGAAGTGTCGGAGACTTACTCAGCTGAAAATAATCCTGTGGAACACTTACAAATTGATAGATGTTGGATGCGTGCTTGTTCACTGCTAGTGACATTCAAAGGATGTATGGTGGTGTGTTTTAGGAATACTAGTCTTTCAGTTGAAAAGGCGGCCTCCGGATTACGTCTCAAAGAAATCCAAGAAAATAACGGATGGAAAGCCATTAAAGGGGAAGGAAAGAGTTGACGGGTCTGGCTATGGCTCTTGCCTTCCTCCTGAGAAGCTACCCTACCTGGTAGAACTAAGCCCAGGTAAGAATTCTGGTTATCTAGTAATCTAAATTACATATTTACATAGTCATTTAGATTTTCTTAAAATAAGACTTTCCCTGGGAGCACAAGAAGGTCTGTCGGCGGGGTAAGTGAATGCCACATCAGCAGTTGTTCTGATGTCAGATTCGAGATTGGAGCTGTCTAGAGGTGGAGCTGCACGTTGCTGTGATACCAAGATCTTAATAGTGAATATTTGGAGTAAAAAAAAAGGGAAGAGATGATTGACGAAGACTTTGTCTCTATTAGCATGGCTTCCAGTATGAAGTCTGAAGTTTTTCAAAAACAAAAAAATTATTCAGTCTTCAACTTCCCCTGGATTTTGGGGTTTAAAACTTGTTAATAAGTAGAATAGTTTAACTTGTCATCTTGTGATTTAGGGGGGAACCAGAAAAGCACTGCTTAAGTCTGGTTTGTTTTCCATTCAGAAGTATACCGTAGCATACCTGGCAAAGATGTATTTGACAGTGCCGTACATGAAAAATATATTTTTAGAAGGACAAGAACATGCATTTTTAGATCAGACTTATTTGCTAAATATTTTTCAGCCTAGATGGAACCTTCAAATCACTAGCAAGGCGGGGTTTTCTTTTGGCATCACTACAACTCTGGGCTGCATTGTAATTTACAATTAATTTTATGATCTAAGAACAGCCAGGGGAGCTTCATTGTTTATAGCACAACAACTGATAAAACATATACAATTTCTACTCTTAATTTCTATTGTGTTCATCGTTAAAGATTTGGATATGGGCTTTCATTTTGGCAATTTAGTTATATGCAGCTCTTTTTCCTATGAAGTGTAACTTGTGTAAGCTCAGATATCCAATCAAGTGATTTACAATGGGAAGTCTAGTTGTTTACCTTTTGGGAAGCAAAGTTGGAAATTTGTGCTGAACAATTTGACCAAAACTGCACTCGAAAGGTTAAATTTTTAGTCAGATAGTGTGGTGTCTTTGGTTTTGTTTTTTTAAAAAAACCCCAGATGACATTAGCAGTACACAGAATATATGAAGTGTATTTTGTATTGTGCTCTATATGCTGAGGCTTGGTTTGCACATTAATATTTTGAGTTCTTTTAATAGTAGTTCCGATTTCTTTTCTTGCGCTCTAAACTCTTACACTTCGTGGAGCCTGGTTGCTTTAGTATTAAAACGTTGTGCTTGGATGGTGGAGCAGGACATCCACAAGCTTGGGGTGGAAAAGCAATCTGAGATGGCACCGGTGGCAACGCGGCGTACTGAGCCTTTGCACGTTGCCGGTGGGACGGGCCTATTGTTCATGTTTTTCTTCTAACAGCTTCTCTAAACAATAAAGATTGTTTCACTCAGTAGCTTTGTAGCACTGATGTCTTGATAGTCTATGCAGTTTCAAAAGTTGAAAGAGTTTAATGCACTTCATCCTTATAAACTGAAGAAGTGTTGTCTGCCTACAGTTTCACCCTTTCCTGTCTTTTCTTTTCCTGCCCTCTTCCGCATGTTCTGCATGGTATCTGTCCTGCTGGTGCTGCCTTCACCTGGGTCCTCTGCATGTGTTTCTAACCCCAGGGAGAAGGAATCACTTTGCCTACTACAACTATCACGCTTACGAAGGTAACGCTACATTTAATACTGTTCTCTCGTTAGTCACTAAAAACGTCGCTGGCTGGAAATCTGTTGTTTCTTTTTGACAAATGAAAGGCTCTCTTGCTTCTCTGACTTTTTTCCAAGGGACCGCTTCTGTGAAGTAATTAGCTATCTTTTCAGCTGCCGTTTAATTATTCTGTCTGTGAACAAGCATCAAATAGAGCATGAATGTGCTGCTGTCCAAAGAGTTCAACCTTCCAGCTAAGGTTAACAACCAAATCTCATAGGGTGGTTTGCAAGCAATATTGTGCTGGAAAGAAGAAGGTTCTTTGATCCATCTGCTTGCAGAACTCATAGTGAAAAAGTGAATTGGGTGGATGGCGTGGAACCTACCTGTGCTTTTTTCAATGTTTGACTGCACTGATGCAGAGGATGAAATCTGATTTTTATGTGAGACAGTGTTTGGACCACTGGTGAAGTGACCTCACTTTCTGCTCTGTGGTGTTCCATAGCATCCTTTGGTGTTTCTGCTGCCTGGTCTGTGGCGTTGTCTGACAGTAACAGTGTACACCAGAGAGATTTATCCACGTTAGTAGAGTCTTGTTCAGTTTTATCTGTAGCATTTGAAGTCGATAAGCTAATCTACAAATCATTATGGATCTTTGATTCTTCTTAGAGTCTAGAGAAATGTGCAGATATGTCCTGGTTTTGCCAAATAGTCAGGAATACAAAGCCGCTTTCTTCTTTGGGGTGAAATGTCTGCCAAAATGCCTGTTCCAAAATACCTCTAATTTTCTTAGGTTTTTTTAGCATCTGTTTCCTCATTGTATATTCTAGACTGCTGTAAAAGTACTACATGTCTGTTGGTGTTTCTTGGCTGTGGAGTATGATACTGGGGTTTAAATAACCCTTTTCAATCTTAGGCCTGCAGTGCTCAACTCTTTGATGAATTCTGACTTTCACTTAGTTAGCATCATTATTCCAGAGAGCAGAAAAGTTCCGCAGAGTGTGCTGATCTAATAAGCATAGGCAAGCTCTGTAGGAGCACCTGACCACTGAGTAGAAAGCTTCAAATCTGGTTGCATCTCACTGGGGAAAAAAAAACAAACAACCTTGTGATTTCTTAAATCTTTATCTGAGTGTGAAAAAAAGGTCTTAGTACTCTAGAGTCCAGTCTGTCTCTTTGGAGCAAGGCATTACAGGGTACTTGTGTTTATTACAGAAATAACTCCCGTGGAAGTGTCCTTCTGCCAAAGCGCTGGCTGTTTGTGTTCTTGCAGAAGAACCTGGCAGACTTCAGTTTCACGCTCTGGGCAGTTGCAGAAATTCAGAAATTTGGGTACTGGCAGCGTGTCCCGGTTTTACACTTCCCTGCAGCTGCAGAGGTACCTGGTTGTACGGCTGCTTCGTGGGCTGAGGGTCGGATTCTGCACAGGGCGGTAGAGGATGCGCTGCGGTAGCTTGTGGCTGTAAATGGGGCAATCAGCAACTGTCTCTGTCCTCCCAGTCATGTGAATGAGCCAATAAACTGGGATGGATCCGATAGAGAAACAGGCTGGAGAGACTGCGGAGAGATGCGGCAGCGCTTCGGGTAGCTGGTGCTGCTACCTGGGAACGCGGCTGCTGCTGAGTGCAGGGCTGTTCCTGACTTCAGTGGTTCAACCATGCCGTTTGAAGGCTGAGAAAAATGACAAAAGGTCACGTTTTAGGATGTGAGCCACTTGAGATTTATCCTGCAAGCCTGAAATAAGAATTGTAAAGCTTTAAAAAATAAAAAAAAAAGCAAAACCTTAAGGGTTTTCTCGCCGCCTCACTGCAAAAAAGCAACCCTGAGCTGCAGAACGGGCAGCAACGAGAGGTGCTGAGAACTTGCAGGTGTAGCAGCTGGGAAAGAAGAATTACAGAATCACAGAACGTTAGGGGTTGGAAGGGACTTCTGTGGGTCACCCAGCCCAAGCCCCTGCCGAAGCAGGGTCACCCAGAGCAGGCTGCACAGGACCAGGTGGGTCTGGAATATCTCCAGAGAAGGAGACTCCACAGCCTCCCTGGGCAGCCTGTTCCAGGGCTCCGTCACCCTCAGAGGGAAGAAGTTCTTCCTCCTGTTCAGACGGAACAGGAGTTACAGGGAGCTGGAGAAACTTGAAAGCCTTGGCCAGAGCGGTTTCCCTGGCCAGCCTTCTTTCCGAGAGCAGAACTGCAGTGTGGTGTGCGGTGACACTTCTGCACGTTGGTTTGAAGGAGCTTTGCTCTCTGTCACCTTCTTCACTGGATCTTCCTTTACCAAAAATGGCTCTTTCTGCTGGAAGTGCACCTCATGGCTGAAATTTAATCGCAGGCTTTGTCTCCCGAATTCGACGTGATGTTTCAAACCTGCCAAACCAATCTTTTTAACTTCTTACTGTCTGAACTCGGCACTCAGGAACTCGTGCAGGAAATCTGCTGCTTTTTGAGTGTGGACTCAGCTAAGTTTGAAGTCAATAGGAGCAGCCCCTTGTGTGGACGGTTTTGTTCCGCTTTGGGCTTATTTGTTTTCTCTGGTCTGATCTTCACTATTTCCCACCATTGTCTCAAGCGCTGGATTAGCAAAATCAATTTAAAATTATCATCTCTGTGGTGGTGTGGGGCTCACCCTTTAGTGGGGAAGTGACGCGTTGAAAATGCGTATCTGTGGAGGGAGGCCTGGGTTCTCTTTTTCTGTTGATCAAAAATGTACATTTGTGTTATGAATGTGCTTACAGTGACTGTTCACTTCTGTTCACTACACAGTTTGGGTTTTTTTTTTTTTACAACACTGCTGTTTGAAATGTGAATGTAACTGCATAAACCCACTAATGAAAGATATTTGTATTGCATCCTTTGCACAGAAAGGGATAAAAGCCACAGTTTTTACAGGTTTTGCACCATTTCACTAGTGACTAGAAGTGAATAGTAATATAGTGTGCATCTTTTTACACTGTGTTTTAGAGTGGTTTTAATGTACATTTACATGCTTTAGTGTTTTTGAAAAACCCTGTTTTCTAAACCGCTGGTTCCTGCCTGGACTGTGGTGTAAGGTCCGCTTCCTGATGGAGGGTTACCTCTGGAAAGGCAAGTTTGCAGTAGGTGGTGGGCGGTATGGGCAGATGGGTGTGTAGCTCTGCGTGTGGAGCTACTGGAGAGAGTCCAGCGGAGGGCTGCGAGGATGAGGAGGGGACTGGAGCATCTCTCCTACGAGGAGAGGCTGAGGGAGCTGGGCTTGTTCAGCCTGGGGAAGAGAAGGCTGAGAGGGGACCT